TCACTCTTTCCATTGTTTCCCCATCTATTTGCCATGAAGTGCTGGGACCGTATGCCATGATCTTAGTTTTCTGAATGTTGAGCTTTTAGCCAACTTTTTTACTCTTCTCTTTACTTTCATCAAGAAGCTCTTTAAAATGCTGTGCTAAAGAATTAAAATGACCAAATGAACAACAACAACAAAAAAGAAGCTCTTTAGTTCCTCTTCGCTTTTTGCCGTAAAGGTGGTGTCATCTGTATATCTGAGATTATTGATATTTCTCCCAGCAATCTTGATTCCAGCTTGTGCTTCATCAAGCCCAGCATTTCGCATGTGGTGAAAAGAAAGTGAAGTTGCTCAGTTGTGTCCGACTCTTTGTGACCCTATGGACTATAGCCTACCAGGCTCCTCTGTCCATGGGACTTTCCAGGCAAGAATACTGGAGTGGGTTGCCATTTCCTTCTCCAGGGGATCTTCCTGACCCAGGGATTGAACTCATGTCTCCCGCATTGCAGGCAGACGCTTTACTGTCTGAGCCACAAGGGAAGTGATAATGTGGTAGCCATGGGCATATGTATCTTCAATCATCAGGGGTCAGTGGTTACAAAGAAAAGGCCAGCTGGGGTTGGGCTGGGATTCTCCAGGTAGTGGCTTGATTAAATTTGCAATATTAAATTTTTCAAAATTAAATTTGATTAAATTTGTCAACATCCAGGAGTAATCAAGACCCCAGAAACTCTAAAATGAGGGACAGACAGCTTTAAGAATTCCTATTAATTTATAATTAGAATATAGCCATCTGGGTTGCTGGGGTTTGTATCAGTCTGACCACAGCCTACTCTCCAAGCCAGCAGGCTACAGGGGAAGCCAAATGATAATTAGAAACCCACTTTGTAACTTACCATGAGCGATCACTACGTCATATTACTTTAAGCATTAGGGTCAACCCATTCTCTCTGAGGGCAGAATGAGGAAAGACTAAAGAAGCCACTCAGTCCCCATCACTTTAATGTGGTGAGTGTGGAAGCAGAAGGAGAGGATTTATATTAATCAAACATTTCCTGGCTCCTGGTTATGCTAATCAGCTGCATCCAGCTCATAATGGGGATCAGGTTACTAAAGGGACTGGAGTACTGAAGTCCCATTGACTTAGGCTCCCTGGACTTGTCTGGATGGGATCCCAATTCTGCTTGTGCCTCCCAAACTCCCTTTTCTATGTTCTGATGGTGGATCAGTACTCTTCTGTAGCACCTGTCTTAAATATATTAGTGTATTCAATCATATCACCATTCTGCTGATCTGGGATGTAGTTTGGTTTTCTTTGGTATCTCTGTTCTGATCTGTTTTGTATTGCTCTCACGGTCTCAGAGTCTCTGCACTTGGGAGGCTCTTGGAGTATTCTCTGATGTCCTCCTTCTCCACATTCCAACTGCAGCAGCTTAAAAGTCAGCCTGTTAGAAGGACCTTCCTTGAGCACTCATTCTGAAGAAGCCAGTCAGCCCCCATCATTTCACTTTATTTTCGATTGTGCATAACGTTCAAGGGCTTACTACTATATGGTATTTACTGTTTCCATCTTTGTGTTTTAATTTTTGGTTGTCTCCCCCATTAGAAAATAAACTCCATGAAAGTAGGAACCTTGTCAGTCTTTCTCTCACTCTATTCCCGGCATCTGGAACAGGATCTGGCAATTGATAGGTTCTCATGAAAGTTTGCCTGCTTGTTTGCTGAATGAATGATCTCTCACGAGACCACTATTGCTTTTGTAATTTATAAGTTCTCAGCAACATCTTACTGAAGTCTCAAACAATATGCCACAGTTGTCTTCTTAGAAATGAACTCGGCCAAGAATCTACAAGTCTTGGTCAGTCCTCAGTGGATGCGAGGCTCATGCGGTAAAGGGGAAGGATGGAGAGAATGTTTGTTCAGAAATGTCACCCAGTGGTCATTCTCCTGCAGCGAAGCCTCACTCAACAGTGGAAGCAGACGTCTCTCAATACTCAAGTACTACCCAGATAATAGATAAAAGATTCTCAAGAAAACTACGGCATTTACTAAGCAAGAGAATAGTTTGACACATTGGTGCCATGGCCTTAAAGAATTAGGATGAAAGATAATCCTGTAAACCAAGAGGAATGGCAGACAAGGTCAGGCCAGTGAAGAGCTAAGGCTTTAATATTCCCAAGATATTTGCATTTCATCAGATTTCAGAGCCTTTCTTCAGAGTCAGAAAAAGCCACCCCTCCCCTCATCATAAGGTACTCGTCTCTCATTGGGTAGGGGGTAAATCTCAAAAGGAATAAAACAGACCCTGTATAATGGTGAGGGAGACTGAATTTTCTAATGTGCTGTCCAGAAGAGAGGTTACTGATAAGGAGCCCATAAGGTAGGTGATGATTATGAACATTGATTTATTTTATCTTTATCAGGACTTTTGCAGTAAGATTCCAGGCATAAACAGTCATGCTGACATAATTTGCTTCATGGAAATAAGAATATGAATAGACGTGATAAAAGCATGCAATTGGTAGAAGGCAGTCTTTCCTCTGCTGTCTTAAATCCAATTTTTGTATTGATTTTTGAAGTGTGGAAGGTTGTGGTATGGAGTATAAAACCGTTCTTAATTTTAAAGTCACTACGTTTGTCAGTATCTGTGAGATAAGTAGAATAAATAAATTCTAAGTGGAGATTATAATATATTGATATTACTGAGGTTAAGCTACATATTTTTGGTTCCATGTGATATTTAACTCCCTTTCAGAGATGAAGGTCTTAAAAATTAGGTTTTGTTTAGATTACAATTCTGTAGTATATCTTCAGTTAAAATGATGTAGGAAGTTGTATCAAAAATGTAGTTTCTATCATAACAATTGTCTGGTGAGGAAAAAGATAGCTTGCTTTTAAAAATATGTTATGCCTGTGGTATTTTAGGGAACAGTTATAAATAATAATAAAAATTTAATACACATTTAACTCTTCTTATATAATTAGTGGAACATTATATTTCTAGATCTACTGGTCATGTTATTTTCACTCCCTCTGTAAAGGATTTATAATTCATGAATAAGAATTAACTGCCAGCTTAAACTTGACTTGAGGGTTTTTAGGACAGAAACTAATTTTTATATATTATGTTTTTCCTAACACTTTTAGGTAAATCATTGTGGCCATCTATTTGGATCTTAAATACTATTTGCATTTTTGAAATTACATAAAGAACTCTGTCAGTTATTATTCTACTTTGAAGAAGCCATTTTTTCTAATAACATATCTGCATAAAAAAAAAGGAAATGCTATGCTTCTGTGAGAATGAAGTCAGACAAGTCATTAAACAAAAGAAATCTTAACTGAAGATCTTTCTAAGAAATAATTTTCTCTCTGAAATTCATATTTTATTCATTCTTCTTCTTTTCTTCCTCTGTAAGTCCACTGGAAGAAGTCTAAAATGAAACTAATTGCTTTATGTTTTAATCTTTAAAAATACAATTAACTAGAGATATACAAAATAGATACAAAATACTTAAAAAAGCCAAAGATAGGAAAGAAGATATTCAATTCAAACATCACATCCTTTATCCCATATCTTTTATTGTCGAATGAAAACTGGACACTTGGCTGCTCTTTTCAATTTCTAGGATTGATGAGATATTAAGCAAGAGTCCACACTAAAAAAGAAACTTTATTTTCATTTGTGTGATACCTACTATAGTGATATGACATTTACTATAATTTAGTCTTGCTGGATCGCTTCTAAGATTTGAAATCTAAGGGCTTTGTATAATCTCCTTCCAAGTGTTTTAATTGACATTCTGCTATAATGAACCCCACAGACCATTACCTGACTAATTGCTTGAGTTACAGTGCTTATACAATGCCATTCTTTGTCCTTGGTCTTTTGGGGTATTAAATAGCACGGCTGTCCTGAAAGAGGAAGTGACTGCTGGTGTGCATGTGAAGCTTTAACTTCTTGGTAGCTTTTTCAGGGACAGACTCTCTTCTGTTCTTCTCTGGGCTGATACCAAACCTGATGATTATCAGAGATCCCTGTTATTCTGGGATTCTCAGCTCTCCCTAGGAGAGTCCTGGACCTCTAAAGGGTCTTCCAGAGCCCCTACCACAGGCAGAGCTTTCCAAGACCTGCCTCTCAAGTCCTGGATCAGGTGACAAAATAAGGACAAAACAGTATTTAGTTCTCGAGTGGTATGGTTAGACAGGATTTGTTAGGAAAAGAGTTTTAATACTTTAGAACTAGGGCTTCCCAGGTGACTCAGTGGTAAAGAATCCGCCTGCAAATGCAGGAGATGTGGGTTCAGTCCATGGGTCAGGAAGATCCCCTGGAAAGGGAAATAGCAACCCACTCCAGTATTCTTGCCTGGAGAATCCCATGAACAGAGGAGCCTGGTGGGCTACTGTCCATGGGGTCTCAAAAGAATCGGACACAACTTGGCAATGAAACAGCAACAACTTTAGAATTAGAAAAGGGTTGATCGCTGGCTCATCTAGTCCAGACTCATTGTCTTTTATTATTTGTTTTTTTTTTTTAATTTTTAAAAGCAGCTTTATTTAGATATAAATCACATACCATAACACTCATCTTTTAATGAACACAGTTCAGAGGTTTTCAATGTATTCAAAGTTGTGCATTCATTACCACTGTAAACTTTTAAAAAAATTTACTTATTTTTTTTTAAAAATTTTTAATTTTTTTTAGCATTCTGGTTATTTTTAGTTAAAGAAAAACAGCCTTTTCCAAGGGCGACAAAGTCAGAAGGAAACAGGGTGTGGACTTCTCACAAGCTCTTGCTCCAAAACCTGGACGTGATTTTCCTCCTGGAAAATCAGGGGCAGCTGGCCAGGAATGACGTTGGTGGGGTGGGAGGGGCTGCAGCCCACCTGGATCAAGGACTGGTCTGGGAGGGCTCTAACGTGCCTTCCACGTGCCCGTCAGTGGACATGATTTAACGCTATTATTCTTGAGGGGCATTAAATTAAGGAATGACTCAGGGAGCCAAGAAAGCGGCTTATTCAGTTGGATTCTGAATCACAATCAGGAAATAGTCTTTATCTGGTGCAACCATAATTTCATTTTTCTTGGAGCGAATTCTAAGGAAGGTGAGGCCATTCTGGGGGTCAGTTTCACGCACGGTGCTCCGGGCCTTCAAGATGAAGTTGTGCATGAGGTTGGCGTACTGTGTGGTGGTGGGATTGTCCATGGTGCTCTTGATGGGAATGCCTTCTGTGTTTACCACGATGATTCCCTGCACGCCCTTCTGGCTCTGGAGTCGCTTCAGGGTCTCCTCCACCTCTGCCATCTCGGGCCGATCCGGTAGCTCTGCGTCGCCGGCCCTCAGCCCAGTCTCGCAGCCTTTCTGCGCCCTCTAAAAAATTTACTTATTTTTAAATTGAAGGATAATTGCTTTACAGAAGTTTGTTGGTTTCTGCCAAACACCGACATGAATCAGCCAGAGGTATACATATGTCCCCTCCCTCTAGAACCTCTCTCCCATCTCCCTCCCCATCCCACTCCTCTAGGTTTTTACAGAGCCCCTGTTTGAATTCCCCAAGTCATAGAGCAAGTTCCCACGGGCTATCTATTTTACATATGGTGATGTAAGTTTCCAAGTTGCTCTCTCCAAGCATCTCATCTTCTCCTTCCTTCCCCTGCTGCCTTGTGTCCATAGTCTGTTGTCTGTGTCTGTGTGGTGAACTGATTTGCCCCCGATCTCACAGCTGTTAGTGACCTAGGTTCTTGGCTCCATTTTGTGGAGTAAACAGGATCCAGATCCATGATAAAGTCTTAGAAACTACTGCCAGATTGTGGAGTTAGAGCAAAGCAGGAAAGTGCTAGAATCAACATGTCAGTATGACCTGGAAGGATGCAATGCGGCTAACATCCTTGTTTCCTGCCTTTATTTGGCCAATGGTGTGGGTCAGTGACAACGGCCTTATGAGTGATGAGGCGTAATTAAGGGTTTTTCAAGAATTTTTGGAACTGTTTCAGAAGCAGAGTAAGAACCATTACCTACAGGCCTATATTGACTTCTGATAACTTCTGATTACAATGTTTCTATGAGGCCTGTGCTAGCCTTGATCTAAGAGGCTAGGCAGCTCGGATACTAGTTCAGATTCTAGTTGGCATCATAGAGACTGATATCTTTGGTTATAGATGTAATGTCTGTTGGCATGCACAAACTTCTGGCTTTCCTAATGTTGTTTGTAAGACATTCAGAGCACTGGAATAGGTTTGGAACTCTGGATTTTTAAAAAAAAGGAGATCTGAAGCACTGCAATTTCTTCAGAAATTGGAGACAAAGGGAAGTTTTGCAACTGGAAATTTTTTTTTTTTATAACAAAGCATTTATTTCATGCCATATCATTCATGCCAAATATATTTACTTTCATATTTGATTTCCCTACATATGAGCATGTGAGTAAGCTGATAAAAAGATTAATATAGATCTTTTAACAGTGAGAAGCAAGGCATGCTGTAGAAGGTAATCTGCTACTGATGAAAAGTTTAATCTATCCTGTTATCTGAAAGGAGCTTCCCTGGTGGTTCAGGGGATAAAGCATCTGCCTGCAATGCGGGAGACCTGGGTTTGATCTCTGGGTTGGGAAGATCCCCTGGATGAAGGAAAAGGTGTTATCTGAAAAACACCTTTTGCTTCAAAGACAAATTCCTTTTCTTTCTTTCTTTTTAAATTGAAGTATAGTTGATTTACAATGTTTCAGATGTACAGCAAAGTGATTCAGTTACATATACATATACTTTTTAAGATACTTTGCCATTATAGATTATTACAAACTCCTTTTAAATCCTTCAATCTGTTAGATTCTGTATCCTGAAGCTTCCCTAGAACCTCCCTCGCAGGGAACCTCTGGCTAATTTTCAGGCATACCTGATGCAGCAGGAGTGAGCTGACTCCCACATCTTTCCACAATTCCCTACTGAAGAACATCCCACAACAGACGTCCTGCTTGGTCTCCAGAAAGGGTAGGCGGTTTGCTTAGGTTTGGTTATACTTATTTAAATGGGTTTCTAAATAACTCATGTCAAGGATGTGGAAAAATTTCAGTGAAATCTCTACTTCGTGAAGAAAGTTTCTAACATGGAACCCCTTTTGCCTCCACCACAAATTTTTGTTAACATGCCAGAGCTTATGGGCACAGGTGAATTTTAAGTCCAGTTTTTCAGTAGCAACTTTGATAGAATTATTAACTGCCAGCAGGACCAACTCATAAACAAGTAAGTGAACAAATCAATCATGTTTGGACCCATTGCTTCTTTTCTTTTTTAAAAAGAATCAATGGACTTCTTAAAAAATCAATCGACTTTATCTTTTCGAGTAGTTCCAGGTTTACAGAAAATTGAGCAGCAAAAGTAGAGGGTCCCATGGACTCATCTCCCCCATATACCGTTGCTGTTCAGTCACTTAGCCATGTCTGACTATTTGCAGCCCCACGGACTGCAGCACGCCAGGCTTCCCTGTCCTTCACCATCTTGCTTGTTGGAGCTTGCTCAAACTCATGTCCATTGAGTCGGTGATGCCGTCCAACCATCTCATCCTCTGTCTGTCCCCTTCTCCTCCTGCCTTCGGTCTTTCCCAGCATGAGGGTCTTTTCCAGTGAGTCAGCTCTTCGCATCAGGTGGCCAAAGTATTGGAGGTTCAGCTTCAGCATCAGTCCTTCCAATGAATACCCAGGACTGATCTCCTTTAGGATGGACTGGTTGGATCTCCTTGCAGTCCAAGGGACGCTCAAGAGTCTTCTCCAACACCACAGTTCAAAAGCATCAATTCTTTGGCCCTCAGCTTTCTTTATGGTCCAACTCTTGCATTGATACATGACTACTGGAAAAACCATAGCTTTGACTGGACGGACTTTTGTCGGCAAAGTAATGTCTGCTTTTTAATGTGCTGTCTAGGTTTGTCACACACTGTAACCCACTGCCTTTTACAATTAGTGAAAGGTATCTGCCTGCAAAGCTGGCTCATTGTCACCCATCCAGTCACACTGTCCCTTTTCTTACCTCCTTTCTCTTTCTCCATAAAACAGGAAAACCACTATAGCAGACACACTCAGAATTCTTGGGAGGGAAATAAAAATAGATGAAACAGAGTAGTGAGAATCTTGTTTTTGCCTTTGCCTAATCCCATCCTTAAAGGTTTGATTTGGCTTGTGGAGGTGTGGAGCCAGGGCTTATTTTCACATCGAAATTTAATGTATGTTTGTAACTAGTCTACTCATCCCTGTGGGTGAATTTGCTTTTCCATCAACCCATCACCTTAATGATTACTTCGTTCTCCCTTAGCTTGATTGCTCCCAGCTCTCCTAAATGCCATTCCTTCTCTGGACACAATTCTATGCCACAGACCTCACCTGTGACCTAGAACATTCTGCTTCCTCTCATACCACCTGGATTTAATACAGAGTGGGCAGAGAAGAGGAGTAACTGAAAAAGTGGTGGCATGCACAGAGGGGAAAAAAGTATTCACATTTGCTGATGCACCTTTTTTTTTTTTTTTTTTTTTAATGGTGTTAGACTCTGAACCAAAGCCACTTCCTTTTCGTTGTTGTTGCTCAGCCCCTTAGTTATGTCTGACTCTTTGTGACCCCATAGACTTCGGCACGCCAGGCTTGCCTGTCCATCACCAAATCCCAGAGCTTGCTCAAACTCATCTCCACTGAGTCGGTGATGCCATCCAACCATCTCATCCTCCGTTGCCCCCTTCTCCTCCCACCTTCAGTCTTTCCCAGCATCAGGTTCTTTCCCAGTGAGTCAGCTCTTCCTTTTATCCAACTGAAAAATGCCGAGTTTTTATTTTACTGCACACTGTTAAATACAAGAGGCATTTAACTTAGTAGAAGGTCATGTTACGTTCAATGTGCTTAATAAAATTGTAAAGGATTCACTTATTTTCGCACTCTTGGAGAAACAGTCTCCCACTGCATAATGGAAATTATGACGCTTTTGTTGCGTCTCTCGTCACAAAGAGATGAGCAAGGCTCATCAGAGCTTATTAAAGTCATGCTTAAAAAACAAAGTGAGGAAATAGGAATCTGTAGTTGCAAAGTTTCTCATCCTTCCTTTTGATGATTTGCAAAGTTTGCAGACTCAAACTTTGAGCTCAAGGAGGCTTGCCTGAGTTTGCTGAAAGCATCCAGGCAGGAGAAAACAGCTTCTCAGAAATTCCTCCTAATTTACCCTTGTGGGTGCAGAGCATTGAGAGCGCAACACCTGGTACCTTAAAAAGCAAAAGAGGAGATTGTTTGATGGGTGTGGCTCTTGAGGAAGGAGAAGAAAGCAGTGGCAGCAACTGGCTCTACCCGTTTCCTGACATCCTTGTATACCATCCCCTGTTATGGGACCTTCTCCCTCGGGTAACATGCCTAAAATGAGTGTGATGTTAATGATCCCTCTTGGCTAGGGCTCCCGACTCACAACTCTACTTTTGGTTACTTGTTTAAGCGGGGAGGTCCTAGGAGCCTGCTGGGAACAAGTCCTGAAGTCATCCCATTTCTCGACTGGGTCTCAGGCCTCTCATAACTCTTCCTCTTTTCTGTCCATTCCTCAACACAGGGGAGCCCCTCAGAGGAATGTCTCAAGCTTTATCAAAGCTGGAGTTGTGGCTGAGATCTCACTTTACTCCTAAAATCCACTCAGGGAAGCTGGGAATTAATTACTCTGGTATTAGGGAGACAAAATTTAACAAACACCATTTTTATGCAAGCATTTCTGTCTCGGTTGTGCTGCCCAGTACAAAATTACCTCTGATTCATTGTCATTGTCTAATTTAATTTGGAACCTTGACCAGTAACTAAAGCTCACCCTGTATTTCTAAAGGAAAATAATATTAGTTATATTCCTTAGGAAATTTCCCATGCATAGACTCATACTTTGCTTTCTTCTTATGCTCATTTTCTCGAAGTGATATAGTAACACCACAATCCTAAGAACCTCCTAGAGTCTAATTAAAAGTTAAATTCTAACTGAACAGTTAATAAGTTACACAATACACTTTTCATATAGAAATTAAAGTCAGAATTGTTTTCCAGAATGGGTTGGCCTTTGAATTGTGAATCAATGTCAAGACATTGTTGCAGGCCACCCTCATCTCTTTTGTCAGGACTGCAGCAACTCTCATGTGCTTTGACTGATCATTGTTTTGACTCACATGCAATCTTCCTCTGCACAGCAGCTAGGGTCTCTTCCCAGTTCTCATGTTCAGTGACTTCTTACAGCTTATAGGATAAACCCCAAAACCCTTACGATGGACAACATAAGTGGACAAACCAAATGCATCTTGAGTAA